CAGAAAAATTTTTTTCAAATATTTAATCGGTTGAGTAAACTAATGTATCCTCAACCTTCTCATATGTAAAATACTAACACATTGCTGGGTCATTTTGGTTTCTCTGGACGCATGTTGCTATTACTATTCTTTTGGAGTATGTATTTTAATATTTGCTATTGTAAATTCCCGAGAATAACACTACAAATTAATCATTAATGTACACTGCTTTAACATGCAACTATCCAAAATTCTGAAAAAACTTAAAATTGATACCATGGTATTGTTTATTGTCATCTTAAAATTAGACTTGCAAGCTCAGCATATAAGAGGCTGTTCCTTCCCACTTTCTACTTTAAAAAATTACTTATTAAGTAAACCTTGACTTAATTAAACCCAGTCTATTACATCTTTGCATATTTTTTAAAAAGTGATTAAAATTACCAGGACTTTGATTCCAGTCCATCCACAGACGTGATTTGAGTTCCCATATGAGCTAGGACGTCACGTCTGGTGCTGATGACACAGGACAGGCGAGACGGGCACAGTTCCTGTCAAATCGCTCCCCAGCGCAAACTTCCGTGAGCCGTTGCAGGGACTCTGGCCCCCTGTTAAGATTCCACGAATAGGAGATGGGAAGCGACCAGTCGGAAATGCAGGTTTGGGGCATGATCATCTGTGGACCAGCCCTGTTGTAGGAACTGCGCAAACACATTTCTGTGGGTGGATGGTGTTTTCTTTCTTTCAATCCTTTTCTCTGCAGTGCTTTCCCAGCATTCCCAGCTCTCCCCCGCGGGGTTCCAGTGACCTCATTTACAACACTTTGGATGAGAGCCGTCAGGTGGAAAAAGATTCTGGGAAAAGATATTTTGCCTCCCAAAGCTTTTAATGGAACGGTGGGCCCCTTACCTCAATAATGCCAGCATAGATTCCTTGGAAGAGCCTCAGAGTATCACTTATTATATTTTCAAAATTATAAGCTTTTCCTTTCTTCGTATTTCAGATGCGTTTGTTTAACAGTCATCTCCTTAAAAATGTATCCCGTTTTTGGTCATACTTAAATATTTTTCTATGGGGGAACAACCAGGATTTAGACATAACTGTTCCACTATTGACCAACAAAATACTCTTTGTCCCTGTTGAGAAAGCAGATAAGAAGAATCTAAGATCTTTTGTTTCTGATTCCTGAATCAGTTAATGTTGCATTAGGTTACAAGTAGCAAACAAACCAATGACAACGACCTAAAAAGACTTGGTTTTTTTCAGATAAGAAGTCTAGACAAATACACGCCAGAGCTGGGCTGCTATTAAACAATGCAGCAAAGGATCCAGACTCTATCTTTCTTCACCACTATCTTCCGCTGTAAAATTTACCCTCATGGTTGCAAAATGGCTGCTGTGGCTCAAATAACAATGCCTGCAACCCAAGCAGGAACAAAGGGAAAAGGCGGAGGGAAACATTGCAGCTGAGTCTGGCTCTCCGGAAGAGCCCCTCCTGTCTACCGTTTAGAGCCTACTGCACGGGATCCTATCAAGTGGCCATCCTCACAGCAGGGGAGGCTGAGTGGTCGTGGGTCCCAACTGGGAACATTGTCACCAGAACAAAATCTGAGCTCCGTTGTTAAGAAAGACGGAAAGAATATCACAATTCCTTGGCCACAGGACACATACACACTACTCATAAAGTGTGACGCTGGCATTGGCTTTGGACCACTTCCCATCTTTCTCAAAGCCCGTATTCCAATAAAACTGCCCAAATCAGAAGGAACAAGCTTGGTCTCTTGAATGCATTCACTAAATCACTCGTTCATTCTTTAACTGATCAACTTAATTAATATGTATTGCACATCTTCTCTGTGCCAGTCATAAGGAAAACCACGGTGAACAAAATAGACATGATCCCTAACGTCACAGAGCATCCAGTCCCAAATTAAATTTTTTTTAAAAAATAAAACAGGGCAATGTATGTCAGATTCCACATAGACAACTAGATTCAGTTTTTAAGCGTGAATATCCTTCTCTCGTGGAAATAAAAAATGGATCATTCTCCTCTATGCTGCTGACAGTTTGTTTTTATAAAGTGGCCTTAAGCAACTCAACCTCCAGCAGACTAACATGGAAGCCAAAGTTCAGTGTGCAAAGGGCCATTATTAAATAACAGAGACCAACGCGTTTAGCTACTTGGAATATTGTTTAGTTCATCAGACCCGCTGGCTTAGCAGGTTACAGTCATTCCAAGCAACAGACTGGGAGACCAACTTGCTAAGGGCAGGAAGGGCTGCGTCTTAGACCCCTCTACACGCCCCGAGTCAACTCAGTGACTGAGTCACGGCAAGTACCTAGAGCAGTGTACACTTGCTGATGCGAACTCAGAGCTAGACCTTCCGCCACCAGGATGAGGGGAACTACGCAGAAATTCTTTAAGGTCAAAGTGGACAGCTGGTAATCCCTGAGCTTCACAGTTTACAGGACAAACATTATTTCTGTGCTGCATGCTCAAGTTTCCCAGCCAGTATGCCACGGCACACGACACGTTTCCCGCGGCTGTGTCAGAGCTGTCCCGAGACATGCACTCCCGCCGCCCCGGGCAGCGCAGCCTCTCATCTCAGTGGGCCACGCGAACTCTACCGCTGTCTCTACGTGGCAGGCGGTGGGAAGGGCTTGGTGGCTGTGCTCTCTGGCACGGAACTGCAGGGTCTCCATTTAGTATTCACACAAGCCTGAACCCAGAAAACTTCCTGGGGAATCAGTGCTGTTTCAGCCCACCCCTGTATCGCCTTCCAAAAGGGTGAAAATAAAAGCCAGGCCTTTATTTATTTGTTTGTTGGTATTACACTGAATCGCGCTCCACACATCCTTTGTGGAATGAGCTAGGGTGTACGTAAACGAGTATCTGGCTTTTAAATTTTCCTAGCAACGTGAACACGGCCGCCAGACATCTGGAATGCCAAGGCTGTCTTGCCCACCGGCGGCACCGAAGACACGAGCTCGAGATGCTCCTCGGAGCCCCTTCATGAGCTGAGGGCTGTTCAACTCCTGCGGAAGCACAGGTGGGAGGAGTGGCGTTTGAGGAAGACGGACTAAGGGGTGTCAGACACCTTTCATCTCAGTTCCCAAAGCTCTGTTCTTCCTCTGAGTTGGATTACGGGGTAACGTCCTGGCCTGTGACCTCAGCTCCCCACAGGAGTCACTAGCACTGAACCAGGGTCCAGGACCAGCTGCTTTTATGAGGAGCTGATTTTTTTTTTTAAGGCACATAAAAAACTATCCCGAATCTTCTGCAGATGCCCGAATTAGGCTGGCAGGTACTTGGGAGCAGGGGCTGTCTCATGTTTTGCAGCTCTAGCGCCAAACGCAGCGGGTGCTGTGAGCATGAAACACATTACATACATAGATGCTGAATATAAGAAACAAAGTATCCAAGCAAAGTAGAACAATGTGTAGCGAGTTATAAAGATTTTAGGTGAACAGTTTCGCCAGGTGTGAATAACTTCTAAACAGACTTCAAATACGTCGTCCGAACAGACTTTGTCACCAGGTTATTTTAAACCAAGTTTGCATACCTCAAAAACGCCTGAAAATTGTTTTAGTGAAGACATGGCCTCTTAAAACCCAGGTCCTGGAGGTTATTGAAATCAGGCTGGGCAAACTCACGTAGATGAGGGTGCTCAAAACACACCCTCTGTAAAAGCGCAGCAAAAGTCACCATTCTCGGGACAGCTGCGAAGTAGAACAGCAGGTCCGGTGGTGATCGTGCAACTCTGAGCCTGGAGCTGCCGGCGCGGGCGGGGCAGGGCAGCTCCCGCCAGGTCCTGAAAGGGGGCTCGGCTGCCGCAGCAGGAGGAGAAGGGGAAGCCGCCCCCGAGCGCACAGTTTCAAGGCACTGAGAGCTGCATTTGAAAAACCGTATTAGGGTGACCGCCAAGATCACAGAGGACTGGAATCCGTGGAAGAAATCCTCCACGGTTAAGGACATTCTGAAATCCTGGGCGCAGAACAATTCTAGAGAAACAAACTGTAAAGGACACCGAGTCCCCACTCGCCACCCCTGAGTCTACCCCCCGTGGGACTAGACAGGACAGCTCCGACAGGCTTTGTCGCCACTACAGGACGGTCCTGTCACAACGGCCCAGTCTGCAGATGCAGGGACGTATACAGGTCACGCGCTGCCCTGCAAGGGTGACACCGTCGCCACACACAGAAACAGGCTCTGGTACAGCAGAGCACTGCGGTGGCCTCCGGTCCCGCAGCCCCAGGGCCCCTCGCGGGGCGGGCCCTTGGGCGCCGAGGCGGCTCAGACAGCGGCGCGGACACCGAGAGCCGGACCCGTCGGGCTCGCTCCGGCCCTCTCCTCCGCGCCACTTCGCGGGATTCCCAGGGGCCTCCGCCCGAGGCAGAAACTTGGTTTGGCGGAGGGCGTCCCGGGTGGGGGGGGGCGAGGGGAGCGGTCCGCGCGAGGACACCCGCCGCTCCGCGGTCCCTCCCGGTCGGCCCGGCCGCCGCGCGCAGCCCCGGCCCCGCCTCGGCCCCGGGCCGCGCCTCCGGGCCGCGCAGGTGCCC